AATGTGAATAGAAAAAAATAAATAATTAAAAAAAAAAAAAAAAAAAAAAAAAAAGAAAATAAAAGTCCCCCATTAAGAGTCTCTTCTCAGGTGATTCCAGATTGTATTGAGTTGACAGATGTAAATAGTACCTGCCAGAGAAAAGGAAAAAAGACATAAGTTACAGTGTTTTCCAACTTCTCTGATGAAAATATTCCCACTAGAGATGGTTTCAAGCTGTTAAGGTGAATTCACCCGACTTGGGAAATTCCTAAAAATTTAATAGTCTCATCCCAAGCCTGTTCAGTGTACCACAGAACTCACACTCCCCACCTTCCAAGGTCCGGTGCCACCACCTTCGAGAGAGCTTGACTCATGGGTAGTTCTCTTGTTCTTTGACCATTTTGAGGCTGGATTGGCTGTCTTCTTTATCAGTCTTGTTAACCCAAGTCTAAGCCATACCAAAATCCTTCATTTCCTCAAGGGGACACTTTGAGTATGAACTTTTCATTGTAGTGAAAAGGTAGGAGATAATTGAGGAGAATGACCAAGACATGCCAATCAAATGCAGTATGTGCTCTTGAGTTGACACTAACATGGGGCGGGGGTGGGGTGGGGTTGTGGTAAAGAATGTTAGAACACTTGATGAAATCTCAGTGTAGACTGTAAAATTTAGTGATAATCTTGTGTCTATGTTAATTTACCCAAGCTTGAAAATTGTGCTGCAGTTATTTAAGAGAGTAGTTTTTTATGAAAGGAAAGACAAAAGAATACAGGGGTAAATGGGCTGGGGATGTAGCTCAGGTGGTACCATCCGTGCCTGGCATCCTGAAGGCCTGGGTTTGATCCCAGGTGCTGTGTGAACAGTACTCACAGATGAGGCAGGAAGATCAGATCAACACCCTCCTGGGCGATCTAGTTTGAAGCCAGCTCGAAATACAGGAGCGCTCATTTCAAACAACCACCCAAACAAACAAAAAACAAGCTCTGAGTGCCCCCTTCTCTGTCTTAATTGTTGACATTCTATGAAGTTTCATCCTTGATTTCTCTTCTTTAGAGTTTATACATTTTTTTTTTTTTTTTTGGTTTTTCGAGACAGGGTTTCTCTGTGTAGCTTTGCGCCTTTCCTGGAACTCGCTTGGTAGTCCAGGCTGGCCTTGAACTCACAGAGATCCGCCTGCCTCTGCCTCCCGAGTGCTGGGATTAAAGGCGTGCGCCACCACCGCCCATCGAGTTTATACATTTTTTTTCAGGTTATTTAATCTAGTTCATAATCTATACCAGTTCAGGGGTCTGTCTCTGTCTCCCGAGTTTTAGGTTTATGAATGTAACATGCACTGCTCCCTTTGGTTATTACACTAGAAGGTCCAAAGTTCCGTGGTCTTTGTTGTCTCCTTTGTGTCACTCTAACAAATGACCTTTCACGTGGTACTTTACTTATTTCTTACATCTTGAGGAAGTGTGTAACAACAACATGCCCTTTTAACAGCCGAGGAAATAATCTGTGCAGGGCCATCCCATGTTTGACGGATAGCCATCCTGTATTGACACTTTACCGAGTTCTTTAATCTTATGATGTTCAGAGCTGTGTTCTCAATCTTCATAACATCTACCAGTTTGTAGCTGCCCCCCTGCTTCTCAGTTTCCAGCACCTGCTGTCGAGTTAGCTGTACAGAATTCTTGGGAAAGCTTGTACTCACAGCTTTCTTCTGACACAAAGACCGGAGAGACTTCTGTAGATGTTCCCATTAGTGGTTCCACAGAATGTTAATAGATTAAAAAAAAAAAAAAAAAACCAAAAACCCTAACAAACTAAAAAAACAAAAGCCACTATCATCTTAAAACAAGTAGAGAGCCGCAAAAACAGGAGAGCAAATCTCAATATGTCATCTATTATTTATATTTTTCCATAAGAGAAACTTTGAACAAAACTCTAGGTTAGTTTGCTATCTGTCTATCATAGATGTGTTCCCTGTGCTTCCGGGACTGTGGGTGATTCACCCCACACAGTTATCAGTGGTTAACTCCAGTGGTTATGAAGTCAGTGAAGTGCAGCTGCCTGGGTCGTGGCCAGTACATATCTTTGAACCTTAAAATTTTTCAGAACTTCAGTTATTTTGCATTTATCTATTTTTTGGAATGTAATTGAGTAAAAAGACATAAACTGAGACACAGCTTTATTCTTTAGATAATTTAAACACATTGGGATATTCTCAGTGTATCTTTCCAAGCACATTATAAACAGTAATGAAAGTTTCATCAGTCAATAGTTTTATCAATGCCCAGGAGACAGAAAATATTGAAAATATTGACTTGGTTGGGTACATTAGCATCTCATTTTTCATCATCTGATCAAAGTGTCATCAAAACATTGGCTGTATGTTGTATTTTTGGAATAATTGCTTTAATCGCTTTTAATTTTAGAGTTATAAAGGGAGTCTTCTCCAGTTGAAATAAACAATCCATGTCTTGCAATAAATAGCTAGTGATTTCTCGCTAAGCTTGAGATGGGTGTTTTAAACTATGACTCATTTGTGAACAACTGAATTTTTCCATTTTTGTTTTTCAGGATTTGGAAACATCTCCCCACGAACTGAAGGTGGAAAAATATTCTGTATCATCTATGCCTTGCTGGGAATTCCTCTCTTTGGTTTTCTGTTGGCTGGGGTTGGCGATCAGCTCGGGACCATATTTGGAAAAGGAATTGCCAAAGTGGAAGACACATTTATTGTGGGTACCACAAACTTCTTACTACATCTGTTTACTGGTTTGGTTTGTTCGTTTTGTTCTGTTTTTTAGTGCGTTACCTCTTCTAACACCTTAGATGGGTTAGAAATTCAGTTGTCATTTACATAACAAGTCCTATGCCTCTCAGCATGACACTCTATTTTTAATTTATTTACATACTTAACTGAAAGAAACTAAAAAATTATGTACAAGAAAGCAGAATTATATCCTAATTATAGTGTGTGTGTGTGTGTGTGTGTGTGTGTGTGTAAGGCAAAGGGTAGCTGGGCGGTGGTGGCGCATGCCTTTAATCCCAGCACTTGGGAGGTAGAGCCAGGTGGATCTCTGTGAGATCAAGGCCAGCCTGGGCTACCAAGTGAGTTCCAGGAGGGGCGCAAAGCTACACAGAGAAACCCTGTCTCGAAAAACCAAACCAAAAAAAAAAAAAAAAGGCAAAGGGTAATCTTGGTGTCACTTCAAGTATCATTCAATTTGTTTTTTTATACAAGGTTTTTAAATGACCCAGATTCTCACTGGCTGATTGGCCATGGAGCATCTCAGGAACTGTCTGCCTCTGCCTCTCTGGCACCGGAATTACAAGCGTGTGCCGTCACACCTGGCTTTGTTTTGTGGGTTCTGTAGGTGGAACAGATGTCCTCATGTTTGTAAGGCAAACACTTTACATAACTGTGCCATCTTCCCAGGTCCCACCTATGTCCTTTAAAGTAGTTAATTTTCCCTCAGACCCCTGTTTTATTTCTTTTATGTGTATGAGTGTTTTGCCTGCATCCTTGTCTGTGTACCATGTACATGCTTGGTGTCTATAGAGGTCAGGAGAGGGTATCAGATCTCCTGGAACTAGAGTTACAGATGGTCGTGAGCTACTGTGTGGATGCTGGGAACTAAACACAGGTTCTCTGCAAGAGCAACAAGTGCTCTTAACTGCTGAGACTCCTCTCCAGCTTCAAATCTTTGTTTTCTTATTTGAGCCACATTAACAATGCCTTTCCATTGTTCTAAGCAGTAAATGTTAAAACTGAACTCTGGAAGCAAATAGCTGGCAGTACTTTTATTTTCAAAAATTGCTTTGGTGTTTGTCTTGATTGCTGTTGGCATTGATATGTTATGTGGTCCTTTTGGGCAGGGTGTAATAATAAATAGTAAACACAAACTACCTTGATGGTAGAACTCAGTCAAACAAAACTTATCTACAAAGTGCAGCAGTTCAGAAGAACCCAAGATAGTAAACATGAGGGGTTTGGGATCGTGTTATATTTTGAAGGTGTGTGGATAAAATTAGGATGCTATTATTGAAGCCCAGGGAGGGGGGAGATGGTGGTGGTGGTGGTGGTGATGCTTGTTTATAATCCGAGCTCTCAGCTCTTGGGAGGCAGAGGCAAGGTTCAAGGCCAGCTGGTCTACAGATTGGCTGACTTCCAGGGTCGGCAGGGCTCTACAAAAAAAAAAACAAACAAACAAACAAAAAAGCCAAACATGTTATTATTGAATTTTAAGTGAAAAATAAGAATCTATGATTGAAAGTTTGTGTCCTTAAAGAAAATCATGGAAGGATACAATGGTTGCATTTGCACATGGTGTTAAGAATTTTCTCTCGCTGGTACTGCAAAGCATTGCATTTATCATTCAATTTTTTTTTTTGTCATTTCATATAAGCTTTAGTGAAACAAAACTATTAACTCACCATTTCAATTTTAGCATTAGAGAATTTACTACTTAAGACTGAAGCTAGCTCTTGAGCATTTTTACTACTGTAGTGGATGAGACATGGTTTTTTCAAAGTAGGACTTGCCTTTTCCTTCTCCATGTTAGACTCTCTAGCTATTCACACTCATCAGGAAGGCAGAGACATTGCATGAACTTGATAATAATGAGTCATTCATTCCCTCATTCAGCAAACCTTTGACTGCCACTCCATCCTGCACAGTGTTGGCCACACCAAGTATCTACAGGTCATTTGCAAACCTTCACACCTTCACGGTGATACCCTTCTCATTGTCATGGTGTTTGATGTCAAGCACATTGGAACAACTTTCAAGATATGAATTTACTCAAGTCTCTCCCAGAAGATGAAGATGATAGATGAGAGAGCTCCCTGTGGTCATTTCCAATCTGTGATTTCATGCATGTTGATCTCTAGAAAGATCTCAGCCTATTATTATTAAATGGTTTTCCTTTTAAAAAATAAACTGCACTTATTTATTTGTATATGTATAATACCATGTAGCTCATGTAGAGGTCAGAGGACAATTTGCAGGAGTTGGCTCTCCTTCCACCATGGGGGTCCTGGGCTTGAACTCAAGTCTTCTGGGCTTGGTGGCAAGCACCTTTATCTTCGGAGCCATCTCATCACCCCATTGTTTGCATGGGGCATGGACTATAATCTACAGCTGTTGCAGTGCATAAGACAGAGTCAGTCAGTAAATAAAAATGCATGATAGCTGTGCCAGCCTGGCTTACTGTAACACACACCTACAATCCCAGCACTCTGGAGGCTGAGTTGGGAGCTCTAGGCAAGTCTGGATTACAACATAGGGGCACTTTGCTTTAAAAAGAGAACAAGAAAAATAGAGAGCTGGAGACAGACACGTTCCATACTTTACGTTGTAGGGATTTCTTACTGGAGACGCAGGTGAAGAACTAGACTGAACAGGTGCTGTGGTGACAGGTGTGTCAGGGCTGTGAAGTCACACCCTTGCTTACAGCTCCAGTGGCGCTGTAGTCCCACAGGCAGCCGACTCACCTGGAGCTGAAAGGCAGACTTCTTAGCATCATGTCCTAGTCACCTGAGTATCCTTGTCCACGTTTCCCAGTTCCCAGCCGTGACTATGTGCCGCTTGCCCAGGCTTCTCAGTTGTCACATGTTCCTCAGCTGTTCCTGGTGCACAGTCAGCCTTGTGTCCACAGCATAGACAGATTTCATGAAGTGGCTCAGATGAGTGACTCTTGATGCTCTCCCAGCAAATGAGCAAATGTACTATAATTCTGAGAAAAAAAAATTTCACCCTTGGCAAAACTATGTATGTGTGAAATAGCATTACTTATTGACACTGGTTGTTTTGAATTATTTATATTTTACTCAATTCTAAAGAGCAAAGGCAGTTGAGTAGGAAGGACAGAAGGGCAGGAAGCAAGGTACTCACGTGATAGCACTGTGTCGCTTGCTCTTGTGGGCGTGTCCGTAACTCTGTCTCCCCCCCACCCCACTCTGTCTCTGCAGAAATGGAATGTTAGTCAGACCAAGATTCGCATCATTTCCACCATCATCTTCATCCTGTTCGGCTGTGTCCTCTTTGTGGCTCTTCCCGCCGTCATATTCAAGCACATAGAAGGCTGGAGCGCTCTGGACGCCATCTATTTTGTGGTTATCACCCTGACAACCATTGGATTTGGTGACTATGTGGCAGGTAAGGTTTTTCCCGTGCTGCGGCTGCTCTCCAAGCCCAAGTCTATTAGTTAAGGCTCTCTTGGGTTTAAATTGGAACACAAGGCTATGTAAGACTGTGCTGCCATGCCAAAGGCTCACAGCTAGGTGGCTTTAAACAGAGGGAGCTCCTGGACCCCTCTGGGACTCTGGGTACAATTCCTTGTCCCTGGCTAGTGACTGGGGCCTCCTGTGACCTGTCAGTACGTGGCAGCCCTCTTGCCTGTGTTTCTAGGTGCAAACTCTCCCCTTCCTCTAAGGACTCAGTCACTGAGTTAAGGACCACCCTTCTCCCCTTTGAGTTCATTTTTGTTAAGGATACCTGCAAGGACCATGTTTCCAACACAATCACGTTCTGTGGTACGTGGGGGTTGGGGCCTCAACATGTCTTTGGGGAGGACGTGATCCAACCCCTAAAAGGGGCAGCCCAATGAATAGTGATTCCTTTACTCTGGAGGCAACAGAAGGATAAAGCTGAACTCACTTGTGTTGTATTTTGTGAAATAAGTATAAACGGTTGGTTGTATAGAATTTTGCATTTCTAGGTTAATTCTGAAAACCAAATATCTACCTCTTATTTATGTGGTATAAGAAAGTTCAGCTCCTCTTTGTCCTTTTTACTTTCTTTTGCCTTAGTTTGTAAAACTTTGTCAACTTCAGATGGTGATTTTATTCTTGGCCACTGAAGATCCTCTTTTGCCTATGACACTGGAAGGTTTAATTCTCAGTACATGGCAGTAGCTCCGACCCCAGCTGAAGTGGGTCTCATGGTATCTACATCATTCACGTGACCTGATTTGTCCTTTTTTATATGTAGCGACTGCTCTTTGTTCTCTTCTTGTTCCTGTCTTACTCGTTCAGACCTCACTCTCCTCGGTGGTGTTATTCCAGCTCAAGTCTTTGTATGTGTTCGTGTGTATGTGGACACATCTGTGTGTGTACATGTGCAGGCCATTGTGTCTTCCTTGACTGCTCTCCACTGTATTGTTTGAGACAGAATCGTCCACTGAACCAGGAGTTCCTGGAGTCAGCCAGAGCAGCAAGGGCCGAGACCTCCTGTGTCTGCTTTGCCAGCTGGGGGATTGCAGGAGCATCAGTCATGCTTAGATTTTGTTATTATTGTTATTACATGGATGCCGAGGATCTCACTCATATCCCCATGCTCTTCACTGATTGAATGATCTTTCAGCACCAATATTAATAGTGGTAGTAAAAATAAATGCATGGATGACGCTCTGGGGATCATTTTAATGAGATTTCTCCAAATTCGAACCACTAATGAATTTATAACTCCAGTTTGATGTGATGGAAAATACATTAGGCATACTATATTACCATAAAATAGCAACATGTTATTAAATTCTCGGAATAAGCTCATCAGAATGATTTAGATTTCTTTAAAAAATCTTACATGTTTTTTTTTATCGTGTGTGTGTGTGTGTGTGTGTGTGTGTGTGTGTGTGTGTGTGTGTGTGTGTGTAAACACACTGTATGGAGGTCAGAGGACAACTTGTGGGAGTTGGCTCTCCATGGCCCTGGTAATTGAATGGCAGGCACCTCTGCCCACCGAGCCGTCTTTCTGGCCTGACCTCGATCTCTTCTTTAAATACTTCCAGAGGAGAGACTCTTGTCAGTAAAACATCAAAAAGGGCTGGAGTTCGTTAGTTGGTGCTGGCATTAAGGTGGAAGTTGGCAAAGCCTCCTTGTGAGGAATGTGCAGTGTCTTTGAAGAAGTGTGACATCCTCATGAGTGAGGCTCTCCCTTTGCTCAGAAGCAGCATTGCCACCTCTCTGTTCCAGGTGGAGGGGCTGGGAGGGAGGGATGGGCGGTGCAGAGACTTGTACCATGGCCACTTCTCTGTTCCAGGTGGAGGGGCTGGAGGGAGGGACAGTGCAGAGACTTGTACCATGGCCACTTCTCTGTACCAGGTGGAGGGGCTGG